AATCAACAAAAAAATAAGTTCCAGACTTTAGTTGCAGGTCTGAAAACAGCTCAAGATGATTGGTTCCTACAGACAAATGAACACATGGAGGATATTAAATCCTTTGTTTCAGGTTATTTATCTTCATTGATTTCACTTTCTTGCGTCTCTGGACTGTTCTGATTTGAAGAGATGGACGTGTCCTCCTGCCCGAGGCCTCTACAGATCAATACATCAAGCTTTTTCTTCTTCATTTGTATCAGTTGTTAAATCACAGTCAACGTTGAAGCACATTAGCAGGATTCCACCTCGTGTTTCACTGCACAGATTTAAATGTTCACGTGATGAATAGTCAGCACCTTTAAATCAATATTTCTTCTTTAACCAGAGTTCATTTATCGAAGTCAATAGTTTGGATGCTTCATCATCAGCCTCAGTTTCTGGAAGCTTCCGTCTCTTCTCTTGTGTTTGTATGTTTGGTGCATTTATATATCTTTTATATCAGTTATCATCAGAAGAAGTATTTGTACGTTTGTGTGAACACTGCATGGGCTTCATGAACTCAGGATCAGACGATTGTTCAGACTCACGCACGCGTCTGCTCCTCTGCAGATTTACTCCATCTTTCCATCCCTCTCTCCATCTTTCCATCCCTCTATCCATCTTTCCATCCCTCTCTCCATCGTTACACCCCTTCCCACTCAGTCTGTGGAGTCTTGTGTGTACCTGGGAGCAGACGCCTCAGCTCACTGTTATAATATAACTAGACTTACTTTGGCTTTGACATAAACCTGAGAGTCGTGAGACCCAGACGAGTGAAATCTGCACAATTGGAAACCAGAATGCTAAACATTGTCAAGACTGAGCACAGTTTGTGTGCCAGAGGAACTAAAGTGTTTTTCTTTTTACTTTGTCCTCTGTGTTTAATGAGATAATACTTTTTATATGAAGCAATACAAATACATGCTGACAACTTAGGAGAGAGAGAGGGATTTAAAATCCAACCAAGTCCCACCAGAACCAGAACATTCTGTTTCGGTTATTGCTAATTTTCCTCAATTGAAACACGTGTGCATTGAAAAATACATATCTCAGCCACCCTGACCGAGCCGACCTGAACCTGAACCTGAACCTGAGCGTCATTTAAACAGTTTGTCTGAACCGGCCTCCTGGGCTCAGGTCAGATATCCACACTCTGATGTGAAACGCACGGAAACTCCTGCCAGCGTAGCGCTGCAGTGTGGATCAGCTTATTACATGTACTGCACGCTTGTGCACCTATGATGAAAATGTTGCATGATGGGAACGGGAAACTATGGCAAGGTAACGCCACGAGAGGACGCAACACATACTTCAAGAAAAAGTGACTCTTATCTGAAAATGGAAACAAAGCCCTCCGCTAACCCGAGCTGTGTTCTGTCCTGCAGCTCACAGAGACACATCGGACGACTGTCGGAGCTGTCTGGAGTGTTCCCGTGACAACGGCTGCGTGCGTTGCCCCGAGCGTCTCTTCCTGTTCCTGCAGAGGGAGGGAATGTCTCACCATGGAACTTGTGTCCACGCCTGTCCCGCTGGACACTACGGACAGAGAGGGAAGGACATCAACCGCTGCACGAGTACGTTCTCACACAGAGCCGTTTGATCTGACTCGTCACGTCTCACCGTTCACACACATGAACAACTGCGTCTTTAACTGCTGCAGTTAGTGCGAGTTTTTATTTTGTCTTCACGAAACACAAGAAAAGAATTTGCAGAATCCTTGAGAAACTAAGAAGCACCATTGCACGTTGTCGATAAGTCTTAAGAGCTCGTGAGAAGTTTCCTCCGTCCTGACAAAAGACTGTAAACATGGAAATAAAAGATGGACGACACATCTCCACCTCCTCCCGACCAATAGCGAGTCAGTTTCAGCTGTCAATCATGACATTTCACTCCGTCTTGAACCTGAACCACTGATCATAAATCAGTGTAAGAACAATAACGAGAAATTATCTCTAACAATCTTTTCTGTCCGTCCTTCCCGCTCATCTGTCTTTCACCTTCACGTCCAGAGTGACAGGTGACGGAGAAGACTTACCTGTTTGTCTCCCTCCTCCCAGAATGCCGCTCTCCGGACTGCGAGCACTGTTTCAGCCGGGACTTCTGCACCAAGTGTAAACCTGGCTTCCTGCTGTACAAAGGAAAGTGTCTGCTGAGCTGCCCGAAGGAAACGTTCGCCCACCAGACAGACTGCATAGGTGAGTGAGACTCGTCCCGACCGACACCTGGAGTAGCAGTGGTAACTGTTCCGAAACGACCGACACTGCACGACACAGATAATTAGAATAATCCCGTCTGCAGGAACATGAATAACCAGGTTTGTTCTCCACGCACATCAGGAAACCAGGTGTTTATACGCCATCATCCAAATAACCTAGAGGACCCGCAATTCACTGCTTAACACCTGTGTAACCTTTTGTGACCCGTATCACGTTTTAATGGCTGTATCAAGTTACTGTCTGCCAGGAACAAAAAGCACGTTGACCTCAGGCAGCATTAAAATGTAGCTCCGCTCCGCACCGTGTGCTTCAGGGGGAAGAAAAAGTTAAACGAGCTGCAGACCTGCTTCTTTTAACTGCGTCTCCGTGTCCACTCCTCCGCTGTATTTCACGTGTGAAACGGTCGAGGCTCTCGTCGGTTGTGGTCTGTGATTTTCTTTGTTTTACATCGAGCTGCAGATTTGTGGTGAAATAATGGCTGTCAATTGATCGCACCTGTTTGGGAAACTACACTCCGGGAAAGACCTTGAAAGAAGCGACGAAACCTTGAAGTCGTTCAGTCATTTCAAATCTTTGTTCTCAAGGAAGTGATTTTATCTCACTTTGAACAGGCTGAGACGAGCACTCACTCTTTCCACAGAGTCGCTCACTCGACAAGTTGGATTTTGACTCTGGAGGTGGCGACAGTGTCTGATGCCCTCGTCTTTGATTGCTCACTTTGAACACGACAGTCGGAGGTAACCTTTGAGCGCCTCACCCCGCTCCGCACCAGAATAAAGAGGGGAAATGTCAAACACTTCTATAAACGCAGGTAAATGCATAAACAACCTGAAACATAGGCAGTAGGGTGATCTGAGCTTGGTGAGAGGGTGAAGGTTAGAATAGACTCATCTAACCTCCAAATTCTGACTTGTAAATAATATTTATATTTCAGTTTTCTCCTGAGAACTGTGAAAACGTATCTCTAAGAGGTAAATCTCTTCCACTGCGGCGTCAAACTCTCAGTAAAACACACGACTCAGGTTGAGTTTCAGAATTATTCTTCACACACCTCCTGTCGGAGTAAGTGAGATATATGGTTGAGCTCACTAATCATTCGGTGCTGTTCAGTTTCCCACCTGCACCGGCTGTGGCCTGTGTTGTTTCTGGGCGTCGGGGCGGCCTCTTGTGCACCGTGGTGACGTGAAAGGGTTTCACATCCGACTGTTGGTGCAAACCTCCAGCAAAAGTCATTTCATTCGAGCTCTGACAATGATGATGATGATTATCTAGAGATAATCTTGGCCGAGGCTGCCGGTTTTTCCGTTGTGGAAAATGTTGCAGTGGCTGATTTTGTGGGTGACATCACTCATCAGCAACCAGCCAGCGTAATGTCCTGTTGGTTTATTATTCTGCTGACAAATTAAACCCTAACAATGTGGTTGCCAGGGGTCTGAAGAAAAGCATTTGTCTCAATAGATCCTTGGTTGTAATTTATTGTTTTATCCTCATTATCTCAGTCTCTTCGTTTCTCTGAACTTCGTATCCCTGCACGGAAAAGCACATTAGGCCAAGTCATTATTTTCAATTAACAGAAAACTTCCTCTGGTCTTAGATCAGAAAGAAACAGATTCAAAAGTATTGAGTCTGACAAGTTACTAGTTCACGGTCTGGACACTTTCCACCTCAAAGGGACTAAGGTTGGGTACTGTTTGTTTTTTTTAAACAGTTCTGGTTTCTAATCGGTGCCAGAACCGAGGCCAGGGACGCCCACACTGCCGGCCCATGTGCTTGACATCGGGTCACATGCGCAGTCGAGCATCACGCGTCGGAATCTGAAGAGCTTCAGGCCGGGGTTTGGACAAAAATGTTGAAAAGATATTCGGGTTCGGTTCGGTCACATTGATTTTTGTTGCTCTGGCCTGACAGCACATGAAAACAAACAGTAACCACGTGAAGCGGGGAGAGAAAATCCCAAACTCAGTGCAGCTTACGTTCAGGTCGGGTTCGGACACAAGAAACACAGAAATGGCACCGAAATCTGGATTGGGATTCGATCCGGTTCACACCGGCTGTGTAGGAACCGCTGACTTGCACCAGATTTTGGTCCAAACTCTTGTTTTGACATAAAAGTGCTCGAGGCCTTTCCCTCTTCCCCGATATGATCGTCTTCTTCAAGAACCTTAATGTACCTTAATGGATTCTGCACATGTGAAAGTGATTAAGAGTTTCTGCTGTTCTATTTTTTCCGCCCAGTTCTGATTCTGGATTTGTAAGATAAAGTAAATGTGTGTCTGTTGTGTGTTTCTCTCTTAGACAACTGTCTCTTGGCTCCGCTGGGAGAGTGGAGCGAGTGGAGCGTCTGTCTCCGTAATGGCGTCACCTGTGGCTTCAGGTGGGGGAGGCAGACCAGGACTCGGGGGGGCAGGACGCCCGAAGAGAACGCAGCGTTGCTTTGTCCGTCCCACAGCGAGACGCAAAGGTGCAGGATGAAGAAAAAGTGTCCAACAGGTGAGGAAAGACGGACGGACGGAGGTCACAGGTGTGAAGCGTTGGTACGAAAAGGGGTTAAGACGATTTAACAGCTGTTATCTATCATTTCAAAATAAAATTTCAGCAGAAACCGCTTCTAATCAGTTCAGTCTGATACAACCGATCATTTAGTTGATTTATTCTTTATTGAGTTGGACGGCCAACATCTGTGGATTCCCTGCATTGCTGGGCCTCGTGTTATGAGCTGTGCTGATACACATGTGCGATTTATAATGCCAAATAGGAGAGATTGGATCCTATAAAAAAAAAAAAAAAAAAGCCAACATGTGCCACTTCTAATCCTGGGCGGATGTTGAGAGTTTCCACCGTTCAGGAACATCAGCGCGGTGGAGGAGACGGACGGGGAAGTGTCCTTCGTGCTGGCAAGGCTTCAAAAGTCCAGGATTATTGGTGATGTAGGATGAGTGAACGGCCTCGAGCGCAGGACGAGTCGTCCGACTGTTTCCTGTAGAACGACACATGAAAGAATTTCCCGATGCTGCCGTGCACAACAAAGAAAAGAAAGAGATGTGATTTATATCGGCACTTAAACCCCTCGTGATGTCATCGAGGTGGAAAGGGGGCGTGGCTGCATAGTATAGGAACCCCCCCCCCCCCCGGAGGACACCTGATGTGTAGAGTTCACTGTGACGCAAACTGGGAACAAACCATAGTGTGTGAAGACGAGGTGTGGGGGTCAGAAAATCAGTTCTATCAAAACGGAAAGTGGGAAAATCCCACAGGAGACTGGGAGAGTTTTTGAAAAGCTGCTTTAATATCATGAGCGGTTGTTGAGTTCATCAGAGGACACACATCTCTTAATTTAATCCTGAGCAAACAACCCCACTCTCATCGAGACTTTGTCCTGAGAAGAAAACGAGACGCTGAAGAGGAGAACACCCTTGTCCTCCTCTCTGCGGCTAAAAGGAGGCCTTGCATTTCTTTATGTTGGCGGCTGCAGGGCGAGATAGCATCTTAAGTCATCACACCTCCTGAGCTTCATCTCGTGGTTTAAGCGTTTACGTTACTTCCATCCAAGGACATCCAGCCTCTCAGATTTGGTGTAACTCAAAGAAATAGGAAGAATCGTGTCCAGGGCGTAATGCTCTTCATGTGTTCTGTGTTTCTCGACCTGAAAATAGACTCCAACTGCAAGAAAAAGGATATTTTCAAAGCTCTGCTGTGGAGATGCTGTCAGTGTCGGTTAAAATTGCAGTGAAAAGAAAGAAACAGTGATTATACGCCCTTATTTTTAGGCTTTGCTTCATCAGCAATAGAACTATTGTGTCAGAGACAGTGTCTGGATCTTGTTTTTTAACCCTGCGTTAAATTAATCGTGAACTTCTTGCGGATACACCGCAACATTAAAAATGAAAAATTGGCTCTTCCACCAAAACCCAGTTGTTGTTTGTTGTTCCGTATTTTTGTTCCACTTTGCACTAAAAAGCAAGAGAAGCTGATAAAAGAATTTAAAAGTGCGGAGGAATGTACGGAGCTGTGTTTTACTTCACTTTTTCCAAAGTGGTGAGAAAGCCAACGGTAATTTCTCTTTAGAACTCCGCAAATATTGTGTTTTTAGTGTGTGTGTGTGTGTGTGTGTGCATGCCTGTGTGTTTTCCACAATGGAAGGCATGTCATTTGAAGTAATCATCATTATCATTGTCAGATCGTATGTCCGGTGGCATTAGCGCAGGAAGAAATCCGATCCAGCGGAGTCTGGCGCTGGGATCCGACCCGTGAACCTAATAGCACACATCTGGGATAAAAGGGTGCTGTGGCATCTCCTTGACATTCCTCCGTTGTTCCAGATTAGACGACTCTACTCTCATGTCGTCTTATTGTTTTCAGATGATGTGGATGGGTCTCATCTCTCATTCACTCTTTGCTCACTGGATTAGCGACATGTCACACGCGGTGCGAAACCCGGCTGAGGGTTCGTCGCCCGTTTTCCTGACAATTTAGCATCTGACAGCTAATATGTGTCCTGGTAACGTGAGTGTGTTTCCATATGTACCTCCGTTATCTTATCGGTAACATTTCATGAGTGGTGGAGCAGCGGTTACAGACTCCTAATCACAGGTTCAAGTCCCAGTCAAGTATTCAGAAGTGGAGACGCAGGTGGTGACGTCCTGCAGAAATGTTCTCTGGGGTTCCGGTTTGAAAGACATGCTCGGAGTTTGCACATCTTCCTTCGGTTTGTCAGCGTGCTAACATTGACCACAGAGAGCAGCTGCAGCCGCTGGGAACTTCATTATCTTTGCATGCATGTGGTCGTAAAGCAAAGTACAGTGACAAAGTACAAAGAACAGTGGCTGGAGGTGAGAGGTCAGAGGTCACAGAGGGGATTACGATTCATCCCCAGAGAGAGACTCGCATTTCTGAACAAAATCTCATGGCAGTAAATCTGAGGGTTGTGGTGTTTCTCTGCAAATGTCAGCCTCATGGGGGCGGTAGAGGGAAGGTCGACAGATCGCCAAGGTCGTTAGGCTCGAGCTGCTCCGTTCACCAGCCTCCAGAAAACTTCCATCACATGCAGGAAAACACTTATCTCACCTCAGCGGACGTTTGATTTTTAGTTACGGCTAAATATCAGGAAATAATTTGTAAAATCTGAGCGTACTTGTGAGTTGATAATAATGTACTGATTTTCATAATAATCCAAACTAGAACATGAATTAGAAACACGTCTGACCGGGAGCAGCAGCACCACCACCAGCTTATTTAACATACATGTGTTAAATGCAGCTGCAGACACATGTTGTTTTGTCTGGAGTTGGCCGAGATCAATGTGCAGGATCCCAGTCAGGATGTGTGAGGGTAATTAAACGGGGGCATATTAACCCACAGGAGGATGAAACTGCCTCAGGATTCCACTACAACAGACAGTTGTTGTTTTTGTGTATCTCCGTCCGTAGTCAGGTATAAACACACGACAGGAGCCTGAAGTCCTTTTATCAGGATTTACTCGGTAATTCACCTTTACTGCAATTTGAAAAACAACGTTACGTTCTGCGGCTGCGTCTCAGGGCCTCTTCCTCTGCATCTATACTTGTCATATGCGGCTGCGCACACGTTTGGTGTTAGTGTGAAAGCTTATTAAGTTGTAGTTTATGGCGGTGATAATCAAAACGAACTGATTTACTCGGCTCCCTTTTAAAGACGGAGCGCGGCGGTGCAGCTCTTATTTGGGACATAATGCATTCCCCCTGCTATAAAACTGAGGAGGCTGCATAGCTGGTGTTTTACGATGCAGCGCAACACAAACGTAAACAGGAGGAGAACATGGTCTATCTATGGTCCAAGCGCAGCAGCAGCAGCAGCAGCAGCAGCAGCAGCAGCATCTGTCTCACATCTATATTAGGCTCAAACACACTCCTCTGTCAGATATCCATCCGTCATTATTAATCCATTAAGTGCTGCAGTGTTTTGTTTTAAAAAGTGTGTTTAGTACAAATGTCACAAGTCACAACAGAAATCCAAAGTTCCTTAAAGCCTCTGGAAGCTGAAACAAAAGGCTTAATTCATACAAGTGATTCCTCTCGGGAAGAGATTCCTGCTCCAGCTGAGCTTCAGAGTCGAGGTTTGGCACGCTACAGCCAGGTCGCCAAGAATAAGTTCGAAACACACACGGCCGAGAATAACACACGGAGCAGGACGGTGGATCCACAAGTCTTAGTGTGTGTACTCAGTCAGAAATCACTAATATCCCATAATACTACCAGGAAATGACCAGGTGAAATGTAAAATTAAATAAAAATAAATAATCAGATCTCATCTTATTTTAAAGGGCTTCAGTGAAAACCAGAGGATAATGACTTCAAATGTTAACATACGTTGAACAGTTTAACATTTGTCCAAATATTTCCAGTATCTGCATCATATTTGTAAATTATATACGGAAATAAGCTTAAGAATGAATAGATTCGATGATGAATATTTAAGGAACTAAAGGCCCCATGTCCCCAGAGTCACTCCTCCCACAACCTAAAGAGCTCATGCGTTTGTTTCTCCGTCAGCAGCATTACACAAAAACCACAGAGCAGCTTTTTACTAAACTTATTTAAAGATGCCAGATCTGCGTGATCCGGATATTTGGGCTTCATTTCTCGATAGTGGGAGGAAGTGAAGAGGTGTCGTCCATCTTTAACACTTTAACAACCAGCACGCAAACGTGGTCTCTAATGTCCCCATGGTGCGGAAACCTGCAGGACGAGTGCACCAGAGCACGGCGGGATGATATTCCATATGTTGGATGTGTGAAACGGCCTCCTGCTTCTCTGTCCCGCATATTTTATATAATCTACTTCTTCCTCCCACGGCTCCAAACAATACAGAACTCATGTTTCCAGTCTGATGCTAGCAAGGGACACTTTCTGGAGAAGCTCCATCACTGATGAATAGAGTCCACGTGTGACTCCATTAGATTTCTGTTGGGGGGGGGGGGGTGGTCGTGATGTTACCCAGATCAGTTTTGGAGGGTGACGGGAATGAGCTCATTTTCTGGTTTGCAGAAAAACAAAATTCAGCTAATTTAGATGAGGACACAAACAGGGCGTGGGCTGAGGCGTCCTGCTGGATCGTCACGTTGGGAGTCTTCGACTGTTGTGACCGTGAGGTTTGAAATAGACCTTTATTTCCCATCAGCCTCTGCTGTCAAAGGCAAAAAAACGTGACAATTAATCATTTTTAAACTGCTTAATTTGACTCTAATTTCATGTGCAGATATTTATATGATAATAGAAAAGTAGGAATGATGTTCATTCAGTAAATTATGATCATTCAGAGTCAGATAGACCATAAAGCACCGCGGAGACGTGGAGAGATCAGAGGAGGTGGTTCTACGGCTATAACGGTTTTATGGACATTCCAGATTTCTCAGGAGGTCGAGACGACATTACTCAAAAGAAGAATAAGCCAAAGTGGAACATGTGTAAAAAAAAAAAAAAAGATCTGTAGTAGCTCATGGGAGGAGAAGACGA